TGCTCTGGCAACAAGTTGGTGGAATGAACTCCCCCTAGATGTCCGAACAGCTGAGTCACTGAATGTCTTCAAAAGATGACTTAAAACACACCTTTTCCAGAAATACCTGAATTAACACTTCTGGCATTATACTCTGTTTTTTCCTTTTAAAATTAAAAAAAAAAAAACAACTAACGTAACACAGACATTGCACTTAACATAAACAACAAAACCGAAATAGTGGAATAGGGGCAGACAGAATGTAATTATGGAAATGCAATGACCAGATTTAAATGAGTAACCTTAAAAGGGAAATACTGTTCTGCAAAGCAAGTCACAGTGGAAACCAGTCTCAGTTTGTGGAAACACGACCCTAAAGCCATATAGCAGGTTAACAGAACAGCTTAGGTTGTCAGAATGAAAGGAAGTTGGTTTACTTGGTTGCAGAGTGGAAGGGAGGGGGATCTTGCTAGTTGGTTGCAGAGGCTGAGGAGCTGATGGGATGATGACATTCAGGAAGGCGTGGTATTTGGAGTGGTTGTTGGAGTGGAGCCCCTTGGATTCTCTCTCGCTGTGAAGCTTTGTCTTGGTTGCAGTTCTCTGTCGGGTAGCAGGCCTTCACCGGCAGGCTTCAGGAGGGCTTCTTGCGGGCTTCTCTTCTCCTGGGCTGATGTTCTCTGCCTCTCTCTTCAGGCTGATGTGCTTTCTTCTCCTCCTGAAGTTTGTTCTGAGGTGCCAGGTTTTATGGTCTAAAGTTCATGAATAGGGATGACCAGGAAATCAACACCTGAACCAATGGTTGACCATCCATGGCCATGTTGGCATTATTGGTAATGAGAAAGTGGACAGTGCCGCTAAGAAAGCTTTTAATGCAGAACTCACTACATGTCAAATCCCTGTTTCGGATCTCAGACCTGTGTGGCATGGAGGAGTGGAGGAGTTTAAGTATCTCGGGGTCTTGTTCACGAGTGAGGGAAGAATGGGCCGGGAGATCGACAGGCGGATCGCTGCGGCGTCAGCAGTGATGCGGGCACTGCATCGATCTGTCGTGGTGAAGAAGGAGCTAAACCAAAAGGCAAAGCTCTCGATTTACCAGTCGATCTACGTTCCTACCCTTACCTATGGTCATGAGCTATGGGTAGTGACCGAAAGAACGAGATTGCGAGTACAAGCGGCCAAAATGAGTTTTCTCCGCAGGGTGGCTGGGCTCTCCCTTAGCAATAGGGTAAGGAGCTCGGTCATTCGGGAGAGACTCAGAGTAGAGCCGCTGCTCCTCTGTATTGAGAGGAGCCAGATGAGGTGGCTCAGGCATCTGGTCAGGATGCCTCCTGGACACCTCCCTGGTGAGGTGTTCCGGGCATGTCCCACTGGGAGGAGACCCCGGGGAAAACCCAGGACATGCTGGAGGGACTATGTCTCTCGGCTGCCCTGGGAACGCCTCGGGATTCCCCCAGAGGAGCTGGATGAAGTGGCCGGGGAGAGGGAATTCTGGGTTTCCCTGCTGAGACTGCTGCCCCCGCGACCCGACCTCGGATCCAGCGAAAGATAATGGATGGATGGACGTTAATTTAAAGAATCTTATGTAAATTCTGTTTTTGTTTATCTATTTCCTGTTATAAATTACTTGTTGTAAATTATTTATTTATTTTACCTTTTTGTCATGATATAGCCATTGTTGCTGATTTGGCATTAAACTTAAGCTTTGTGCACTGGTGTGCAGTCATGTTAGAACAGGAAGGGGTCATCCCCAACTGTTCCCACAAAGTTGGGAACATGAAATTGTCCAAAATGGCTTTGAATGCTGCACCATTAAGAGTTCCTTTCATTGGAAGCCCGTCCTTGAAAAACAACCCCATACCATAATCCCCCCTTCACCAAACTTTACACGTGGCACAATGCAGTCAAGCAAGTACCGTTCGCCTGGCAACCGCCAAACCCAGACTTGTCCATTGGATTGCCGGACAAAGAAGCGTGATTCATCACTCCAGAGGACACGGCTCCACTGCTCTAGAGTCCAGTGGTGGCGTGCTTTACACCACTACATCTGAAGCTTTGCATTGCACTTAGTGATGTAAGGCTTGAATGCAGCTGCTCGGTCATGGAAACCCATTCCATGAAGTTCTGTACGCACTGTTTTTTGGCTAATCTGAAGGCCACACAAAGTCCGGAGGTCTGTAGCTATTGACTCTGCAGACAGTTGGCGACTTCTACACACTGTGCGCCTCAGCATGTGTTATCCCACTCTGTGATTTTTACGTGACCTGCCACTTTGTGTCTGAGCTGCAGTTGTTCCTAATTGCTTCCACTTAGTTATAATACCACTAACAGTTGACCATGGAATATTTAGTAGTGAGGAAATTTCACGAATGGACTTATTGCACAGGTGGCATCCTGTCACGGTACCATGCTCAAATTGACTGAGGTCCCGAGAGCGACCCAGTCTTTTGCAAATGTTTGTAGAAGCAGTCTTCATACTTAGGTGCTTGATTTTATACACCTATGACTATGGAGGTGAAACAAATTAAATCAATGATTTGGAGGGGTGTCTCAATACTTTTGCCAATATAGCATACTTTTAGGAATACATCACAGACATTTTTCTGGGATGTGTCTTTGTGTATGTTGAGGGTTAATAAGATAATCTCTTCTCTTTCAGACGACAAATCTGCTACCTATGTATATGAGGATGATGGTAGGTGTATTATACCGGCCGACATTCTAAAATATTTTGTTAGGTGATTTAACAAAAACAAGTGCATGTTCTACAGTTTTTCATGTAGTTTCAGAATATGGTTTCCAATTTGCCACCACATGTCTGGTTTTGTCACAATTTACAATTAAAGTTCAGCATAAATTATAGCAAATGTTACATTAAAGAAACAGTTCACCATGTCTTTGCTGGTCACTTAGCACTGCAAAACTGTTTCCGGTATGATTTTTGTTTTGTATGAAGCATCAGGATTTTGTCTGTACAATAATCAGCCATCATATTTACATTCTAACGTCCTTGGTATCTTCGCTCCATTTCACTAATATCTTGGTGAAATCTCTCACCTTGCTCCTCATTATACTCACCCAAATTTTCAGGAAAATAATCAAGGTGCGAGTCTAGGAAATGCATCTTGACACTCATTCTACATCCAATATCTTGAAAACAACATATCATATCCTTCACGTGAACCTCATAGTCAGATGACTTCTTGTTTCCGAGAAATCCATCAACGACTTTACGGAATTCTTCCCAGGCTTGCCTTTCCACTGTCACCATTTTGGCTGCAAATACACTATCCTTCAGCAACCTTCTTATCTGTGGTCCTCCTTCCGGTACTGAGTGACAGTACCGGAAAGCGGACCACAGATTTGCATACAAAGGTTGGCGTCAGTGGACCAGCAGCAGCATACCTGTAAGTTAACATAACTACAAGCTGCCTGTAAACCCTGCTGACTAGTTTCTGCAAAAAAATAGTCTATAACAGGTTACTGGTGATTTTATATGACTGGTATCAAAATGACAGTATTAGGTATACAATGCATTGTTATGAAAAAAAGTCGAAATCACAGAAAAACCAGACATGCTGGAGCAAAACTAAATATACTAAAAATGTTTGTTTATGAAGGATGTTTGAAAAATGTTATTTGATATTCACCAAATTTGATGTCGGCTAGTGTTATAGTTCATTCTAATTTTCATTTTGGCAGATTTTTTGCACATAGGCTTTGAAAACTAAATGGCAAAGTGGAGATTGTATTTTCACTTTTTTACATTTTATTTCTTGCAGAAAATACCTTCCATATTAGTTCTTAGGTAGTAACATAGTTTACAAAACAAAAAATATATTTAAATATATGGAAATTTCAATATATTTTTTTTTAAAGTGTATGCTCCAGTAATCTATAAGCAAAATGCAAAATGTATTGTAAACTATATTACAATAAAGTCAGTCCTGCTACAATGTATGATATCACACTATGAATCTGTTCTAATACAACTGATATATTACTACCCAAGTCCAGTGTAATGTGTAATCGCATTTGTATTTGCGCAATTTTCAGTAAACAGTACCAAAGCATGGTATGGTGATAATGAGAAATACTATTTGCACGCAAAATTAGATTTCCCAGTGGATGATAGTTTTGTCCGATTTATGAACAATTTGTTCTTTTGAACCCGTTCTTTTCAGTGCATTGGTCAAACCAGTTTTCAAATCTAAAACAAAGTTTTTGTACATTCGCGCATTGAACAGGTCTTAGATTCTAAAAATCAAAAAATACTTGATAAATTGTATAAAAACATTGCAACGACTTTTAATTCGCTTACATTTGCTTTTATCCCTTATGAAAATTCACTAAGGTTTCCTATGGTTTTTATGCAGTAACCATAGTTTTACTATGGTACCTCATGGTACTTTGGTACTACCCATAGTACTACCATGGTTTGGAAGAACCATGGTAAAACAAAAACCATGGTTTATGACCAAGATTATACTAAGGTTTAAGTGTAGCGAAACCATGATAAAACCATAGTCATAGTTTCCATAGTTACCCAAAAAACCATGAAAAACGGCAAACCATTGAAACCATGATTATGTAAACCATAATTTTCGTAAGGGATAGACTGTATCCATTTCGCCTTCCGTGTCCCCAGTAATCCGTTGTATTTGTGCTGTATGCATGCCCGGACACATGGTGGCTGTGACTCTGTACTCCCGACTAGTGGTGGCCAAAACCATGGTTCCTGAACCATTTGCTGTGTTTTCTTACCACACTATATGGTGCTCTCTGTTCAAAAACGGACTCAAAGCATGCCTCAAAGTAAACCAAGAGCATCATCCCTACTCTCCCTACACTCAGCAATCGACAAGACCCCCCCAAATAGACAAAAATAATTAGAACCATGATCTCACTAGTCGCTATGATTTTGACGAGAGAGATTGCTGATTCCTCTAAACCTTCCGCAATCATGCAGCTCATTTCACCCTGCCCTGCCTACTGAGAAACTGGCTCATTTGCATACTAACAGTGATTGGATGTTTAGCTGGGGGGAGGGTGAGTGGGGGATCTGCCGAGTGCTGCATGAGCCCGCGCACAAACAGAACGCGGAGGGAAAGAGCGAACAAGTGAAATTTATCATCTCGTTTGTGCCTTTTTCAGTGGATTTTTCAGCTACTGTAGTAAATCTTGTCCATATTCAGTTTGTGGGTAATTATTATTTTCTTCCTCAACTTCTAAAAGTTTGATTTAAGGGGGCAGGACGTTTGCTTAAGGGGGCGTTGCCCCAGCGTAGAGCCGGCCCCGACATACATATTGGCTAACAAAAGGCATATGCACCAACTAACAGCAGAAATTTACTAGTATACAATAAAAACCACCGTCGTTTCTCGATACAAACCTTTAATTATATTCTCCAAAATTGAAAACACAAAGATCGCTCACAAAAAACCTGCGGGGTGTACTGTAGTTCGTTTTTACAAAAAGCTAACCAGTCTCAAAATTAAATTCACGAGTCATTTCGCTCTGACACAGCTCTGATAAGTATCATACACGCGG